TTACCCTTTTTTCTCTCTCTCTGTTTTCTTAGCCTTTTTCTTCTACCTCATCACTTTGCTGTTCAACCTCCATGCCCTTAGTGTTTAGACAAATCTAAGTGAAAAGTAGCCAAGCATCTGAATACTATTAGGGCCCTCATATTCCTCAATTCCCACTGAATCTGTGACACAAAGGGAGAAAAATTTAATGCCAAAGAGTTTGCAGAACACCTCCTCCTATGCTCCTCTGATTGCTCAGATGGAACTTCTAGAAATTAGGAAGAGCCAAATAACCCATCTGATGACTTTAGAAATCACTGCTGAGGCACGAGAAACATGAGAAACCAAGAAAATACCTTTCCCCAAAGGGAAAAGAATAACTCCTCTTCATCCAGAGATAGTACAATGGAACTCATGGAAATGTCTGATAAAGAATTTAAAATATTCATAATGACTAAGCTAACAGAGAAGGAAGAGACGAGAGACAATGAACAGCAGAAGAAAAAAGTTGATGAGTTCCACAAGGTGAGGAAGTTCTTGTGAGAGCTGAAAGAGGAAATACACAGCATAAAAAAGAATCAAATGGAACTGTAGGAGATGAAGGCAATAATACAGGAAGTCAAAACCTCCTTTGAAAGTATTAAAAGCAGACTAGATCATATAGAAAATCAAATCTCAGATGTAGAAGACAGAATCGCTGGACTAATAAAATCCACCACAAAGACTAAGAAAATAGCCCCCCCAAAATGAGAGTAACATATAAGAAATATTAGCTACCATTAAACTTCCAAACACCAGGATAATTGGTATCCCAGAAGATGAAGAGACTCATAAAGGCATTGATAATCTATTCCATGTAATCCTAGAAGTAAACTTTCCAAACCTAGAGAGGCATTCAAAAATTCAGACCCAGGAAATACAGAGGACCCCAAATAGGATCAACCCAAGAAGATATTCTCCATGACACATTATATAGCCAAAATGACCAAAACCACAGACAAAAACAAGATACTAAGATTGGCAACAGAGAAACATCTAGTTACCTACAAAGGATATCTGATCAGGCTAACAGCAGACCTCTCATCAGAAACAATGTGAGCGAGGAAAGAATGGGAAAATATATTCAAAGTGTTGAGTGAAAAACAATTTCAGCCAAGAATATTATATCCGGCAAGATTATCCTTAATATGGGAAGAGAAGACAAGAATATTCTCAGATAAACAAAACCTGAAAGAACTTACCAACACCAGACCCAATTTTTCCAAGAAGGGCTGAAGGAAGTGCTATCCCAGAAAAACTAAAGTCAGACACACAGAAACAAGAGTTCAAAAACAACTAAGAAAATGGCCAGCTTAATGGTAGGGACCAGTCCAGAGTTGAAGGTTCCAGAATTTAAATGGAAATATTGGACCACAACCGAAGATAAAGTACATGAGTTTTGAACTGGTGAAATAGAATTTTATGACTTTTGACTAAAACATTATTGATCTTCTGTGCTTTGTTTTCCAGAGGTAAGGACTTTTGTCTTCCCTTGAGTTGTGGACAGGTCCACGTACCTACTATTCGAACAGAATCCTAACCTGTTTCCTGGCTTTAAGTATTAAGCAAAGTTCTCTTAACATTTTTTTATTTTGATTTATTAAAACTAACACTGCCTTTCTTTAAATTAAATAATATAATTTAAAAATACCTATTTAATGAGCACAGTAAGCTATATAGCCTCAGCTAGGTGCTACTTTATAGTATATTCATTCTACCAACAGAGTTTCATGCCTAAAGTCAACTTTCGTTCACAGATGCATATATGTCAGCTGAATTTAATATTGAAAGTATTTAGGTTAATTAAGATATTTTGCGAATCAAAGAAATGTGGGAAAGAATAAAGGAATGAAAAGCAACTGCGGATACCAGAGGCGGGGTGGGAGGAGAAGGGGAAATGGCAGAGAGTGAGAAATACAGGGGGAAATATATATGTACAAGAAACAAGAAATGGAAAATTGTTGACGGTAACATGTATGATTAAGCCCTTTGCAGTGTATTCTGGCTGGAAAATTGCATTATGTATGCTGTGGTGATGTTCAGTGAAAAATGTAAAATAAATAAGTTAAACAATAAGAAAAAAAAACACTTTATTTTAAAGACTTGCAAAGTACATTGATCACATCTTAAGGACAGGTTCATTCCTGTCAAGCAGATTTATACAGCACTGAAAAATGAACACAAATATGTCAGAAATCTTACTAAAGAACAGGGCTTCCTATTTAGTGTGGCCAGTCTTTGAAGTGTTCATTTTGGTTGAGTTTTTCATGCGCCCTATAGCAAAAACCTCTCAAAAAAAAAAAAAAAAACTAGCGACTCT